TCTTCATGACTTTGCATTTGGCGGGATTAAATTCGAGAAGCCAGTTGCTGGACCAGGTGTCCAGTCTGTCCAGGTCTCTTTGAAGTCGTGTGTGTGTGTGTGTGTGTGTGTGTGTGTGTGTGTGAGTAAAAGTCAAGTTTTGGAGTATAGGTTCCATTAATAAATGTTGTATATCCAGGAGAAAGTGCTAAACTTGCAGGGATTATACAGCACCAGAGAAAAGTAACCAAATCAACCAAAACATCTGCTAACTAGTTTTATTATGTGGCCTCTAGGCTCTTATTTCTGCCAATCCATAAAATCATCTTATCTCTCAATATTAACCAAATCAGCCAAAACATCTACTAATTAGTTTTACTATGTGACCTCCTGGCTTTTAATTCTGCCAATCCATAAAATATTACCACCTTTACCATTACTTGTAAGGTAGATTTTGTGTGTAATTTCAAGATTATTTTACCGACCCCTACTCCACCTTACTACCTCTCACTTGTATTAAGTTTAATTAAGATTGTAAAACAGTTAACCGAAACTTGTCTAGTTTTAAGTATAGTTACTATGTACTATTATCTTATCTAGTTTTAATTAGTTACTATGTACGTATTAGGATTAGTTTGCCCAAAATGCCTCGGCGTGATAGTGGCTATCTTTGTACTCAGAGCAAATCAAAATTGTAATTACACATTGTAACCTTTACAAAGAAATAAACTTTACTTTACTAGGCAGGATTGATCTCAGTAAAGGAAGGGTCAAGAGCAACTATTCTCTGCAGATTCTTCATTTTGGATATAACTTTGACAGTAAAAGTTGTCTAAAACATCATGTTATATCTAGAGTCTGACTTAATTTTCTTTTGGACTTAACACACATGGCCTCATCAGATCTTAGGCACATCACCTACGGGTTTACCGCATGACTGTCAATGTAGGTTATATCATGACTCCCACTTTTGACCCGGTACCACAGTAAATACCATGGCACGTACCACAGAAAATACCACAGTAAACTACATTAAATAAAACAGGAATATACATTGTAGAAAATACTACAATATATATTGTGGTAGTAGAAGTGGAACAGAATTCTTCCTCCGTAAGCCATGCATGTTGTAAGAGGCGAGTAAAATGCCGGAAACAAGGGGCTAGTAACCCCTTCTCTTGTATAAATTACTAAATTTAAAAAGAGAAGCTTTTGTTTTTCTTTTTAGGTCACCCTGCCTCAGTGGGATACGGCCGGTGTGTTGAAAGAAAGATATATATATATATATATATATATATATATATATAATATATATATATATATATAGAGGGGAATGTATGAGAGTATAGTTTTACCAATGCTCTTATATGGGTGTGAAGCATGGGTGATGAATGTTGCAGCGAGGAGAAGGCTGGAGGCAGTGGAGATGTCATGTCTGAGGGCAATGTGTGGTGTGAATATAATGCAGAGAATTCGTAGTTTGGAAGTTAGGAGGAGGTGAGGGATTACCAAAACTGTTGTCCAGAGGGCTGAGGAAGGGTTGTTGAGGTGGTTCGGACATGTAGAGAGAATGGAGCGAAACAGAATGACTTCAAGAGTGTATCAGTCTGTAGTGGAAGGAAGGCGGGTTAGGGTCGGCCTAGGAAAGGTTGGAGGGAGGGGGTAAAGGAGGTTTTGTGTGCGAGGGGCTTGGACTTCCAGCGGGCATGCGTGAGCGCGTGTGATAGGAGTGAATGGAGACAAATGGTTTTTAATACTTGACGTGCTGTTGGAGTGTGAGCAAAGTAACATTTATGAAGGGGTTCAGGGAAACCGGCAGGCCGGACTTGAGTCCTGGAGATGGGAAGTACAGTGCCTGCACTCTGAAGGAGGGGTGTTAATGTTGCAGTTTAAAAACTGTAGTGTAAAGCACCCTTCTGGCAAGACAGTGATGGAGTGAATGATGGTGAAAGTTTTTCTTTTTCGGGCCACCCTGCCTTGGTGGGAATCGGCCAGTGTGCTAATAAATAAAATAAAATACATACATACATACATACATACATACATATATACACATATACACAGTGGAACTTCGGCTTACGAACGCCCCACCATGAGAATTTTTCAGGATACAAACCGTCGTTCTGTTGATTTTTTGCTTCTGGATATGAACGAAATTTCAGGATGCAAACTTCCCCATCAAGGGAGGTTCCTTAACCCTTAAACTGTCCAACCAGATCTACGTTCACATGCGTAGTGCTCCAAAAGTAGATCTATGTTTTTTTTACATATTTTCAAATATAACAAAAAAAAATGTAGATCTAAGTTTTTTACATGTTTTTAAATGTAAAAAAAAAAAAAGTCTACATTTTTTTACATACTTTCAAATGTTGAAAAAACGTAGATCAACGTTTGGACAGTTTAAGGGTTAAATAAGTAAATAAATAAATAAAATATTTATTTTTTTGCAAAGGTTACAATGTGTGTTTACATATAATATGATTGGAGCAAAGAAAGCCTCTATCATGCTGAGGCGTTTCAGGCATACTTAACCTAATACTAATAGACTACTTATGTCTAGACAGGTGAAAAGTGTACTAGTAGTGGTTACCAATGTTTTGCTGATGGTGGCACCAACTACTGGCTGCCTTTTGAAGTTTCTCCTTACTGTTATTATTATTACTGTTATATTGTATTATTATTGTTATTGTTATAATAATAATAATGATTATTATTATTATTAGTAGTAGTAGTATGTACATGGTGAGGGGGCTCTTGATCTAGGGAACTGGATCTGTGCTCCAGGTCCCTAAATTAATAATACTGTAATGATTATTATTATAATAATACGTATGTACTAATAATAATGATAAATGGTAATGATTACGTATAATAACAATATAATAATAACAATAATACTATGTACGTACTGCATATAATTTAGTTTGACAGCACCACCACAATGGTCACCAATGTACATGTGCTTACCGAACTACCCTCGCGGTCCAAGGAATTCTCGTGATTTCCTTATGTTTCGTGCAGTTAATTTCTTGCTTTAATTCAATGCAAATCATCCTCTTTTTCTTCTCGGCACCGTCCTTTGCACTTGCTTTCTTAGGACCCATGGTTAGAAGAAAGAAATCTGGCGAATTAGCCAGATTTCTTTCTTCTAACCATGGGTCCTAAGAAAGCAAGTGCAAAGGACGGTGCCGAGAAGAAAAAGAGGATGATTTGCATTGAATTAAAGCAAGAAATCATTGATAAGCATAGACCAGGTACGTAGCGTAATGAGATAAACATAAATATTGTACATAGCGACCACTCTCGCGACCACAATCCTCCTCCCTTCGCCGTCCATGTAATGATATATTTTATTCATTTTAGAGTATATATCAGGTTTCTATGTTTTTTATATTGTTTATTATGTCATATTAGATGAATTGTGACAAATAAATAAGTCGTAGAGTTGATATTAGGGTTATTTTGTCATGCCTCCTGAGAGCAGGAATTCAGCTGGAACGAATTACATTGGACCCCTGCTTATCGATCACCTCCCAATGCGACCAATTATGTAAGTGTATTTATGTAAGTGCATTTGTACGTGTATGTTTGGGGGTCTGAAATGGACTAACCCACTTCACAATATTCCTTATGGGAACAAATTCGGTCAGTACTGGCACCTGAACATACTTCTGGAATGAAAAAATATCGTTAACCGGGGGTCCACTGTAATTGCATTTCATTTAATTTAAATAAAGAAAATTGACCCAGCATACGAACAAATCAGGATACAAACAAGTCCACGGAACGGATTAAATTTGTAAGCCGAGGTTCCACTGCATATATAAACACACATATATACATATACACATATATACCCTTTCCTCACTTAGCGATGTACTTGTTTACCAACAACTCGGACTTACGATGGGCTCTGACCAATATGCATACCTAAATACTGATGTATATTAGAGCTATATATATACACATATATATATACATACATATATATATGTAGCCTTTCCTCACTTAGCAATGTACTCGTTTACCGACGACTCGGACTTATGATGGACTCTGACCGATATGCATGCCTAAATACTAATGTACGTATATTAAAACTGATTGCCTCTGTTCTGTTATTACAATATACAGTACACTACTGTATAAACATTAAAAAAATATAACAGAAATGTTATAAATGGTGCAAAGGTAACATTAAAACAATATCCAAGATGGTTAATACATGTACAAACCCACTGCCATTATAGTATGCTCCTCACTTAATGACGAATTCGTTTACTAGCGTGGCCTTAAACCAAAGGGACTAAAATAAACATGCCCCTCGGTGCCTTTGCAAAAAAAAAAAAAAAAGAAAAAAAAAACTGAATTTAGAAGTGTAATAAAAAAGAGTGAGTGAAATCTGACAATTACTTATGGAGATATGAAGGTTTGAAGGTGACATTTGTGATCATTTTATGGCAGCATGAGTGTTGGATGCATGAAAGAAGTTGGTGTTTTAAAAACTTTTTATTATTGTTTTTAAGTTTTTCTAATAATTTTTTGTGGATCATTTGTTTTGCACACATCAATATTTTCAATCATATTTCACATATATTTATTTTTAAATCATACTAAACCTATGTAAACACAAAGCACGTGTAAAGGAATGTACAGTGGACCCCCTCTTAACGATCACCTCCCAATGCGACCAATTATGTAAGTGTATTTATGTAAGTGCGTTTGTACGTGTATGTTTGGGGGTCTGAAATGGACTAATCTACTTCACAGTATTCCTTATGGGAACAAATTCGGTCAGTACTGGCACCTGAACATACTTCTGGAATGAAAAAATATCGTTAACCGGGGGTCCACTGTATATGGCATTTATTGGCAGCCACAATGCCCTGCAAACAACACTTAATTTTTTTAATATGACACAGACCTATTTTATCTGGTGTAAATTTACATCATCAGCAGATTAAGGGGTAAAATAAACATTTTGTATTTAGATTTCAGTAATGGAAGTTTTTTTTTTTTTTCAGCTCCTCCGTACCACTCTCGACACAAGGTTCAGGCCACCAGCTGGAACTACGCCACTACCAATGAGGAGGAAGATCATAGAGCCATCGACCAATCAGAACGCTACGTTGACCTCAGCTTTGCCCCTCCTTATAAACCTCCACCAGAGGGCTACAAGGTCAGTACTTGCCACACTCATGACGTGTTGAAACACTAACTTGTCCTACCTTTAGAATGCCTCTACAGACCACTTTGTGAACTAAACAGCATGTTGGACTGTAAAAGTTAAGAACATGTATGTACTTGATAAAAGCACACAAGCAGCAGTCAGGAAGTAGCGGGTGTGGTGGGCCCTACAGTTGAGAGGGAGTGGAAAAAAGAGTTGGGCTTTCAGAGAGGGGAAAATGTTGGGGCAGAGAGTTTAGATGGAGTGGGGGGAATTGCATTTGGATGGAGAGATAAAATGCGAGGAAAAGAAGAGAGTAGACATGGAGAGAGACAGAAGATAGGTGTTACTTTTGTTCAGCATAATTAACAGATGCAAGTTATCAAATAAGTTTGTTGAAAAGTTTATATGAACTGTAAACTATGTGAAGGCAAAGATAAGGTAAAAAGGTATGAACTGACGGATGTTTAAGAGTAGGTGTAAAGTGAACAGGTGTGCAGATATAGGGTGAACAAAGACACAGTCTAATTGAATAATTACAACAGACGAGGTAATTGAGCCAGCTCCCTAATCTTTACCCCTTACTCCTGACAAATCAGGATGCCACAGCACAATGGTCACTGGATGATCTAGGGCCACATTCCACCACTAGATGACTTGAGTTCCTTTTGCTTACAGCTGGCAAAGATAACTACAGGATTTGGTTGATCCTGTGCACACTGAAAAAATATATAATGTACTCGGTGCTATCAGTAAGAGGTGTGAACTAATAGATGTACAAGCAGCAACTGTAAGGTAAACAGTTGTGTAAGCAGCAGCTGTAAGGTAAACAAGTGTGGAAGTAGCAGTGGTAAGGTAAACATGTGTAAACTAAGAGTTGCATCTTCACAGGTGCCCAACGGTCACTTGCCAGGCCTGGACATGGATGAGACGGGGGTATACGTCAACAGCCGCCGTCATAATATTCTTGACTCCAACATGAACAAAACGTGAGTGCCTCCTCCACACACCTTCCCTCTTTTACCTCCCTTCCTTCCTCTCTTCCTTAACTCCCTTCCTTCTTAGCTGCATCTGCCTTCTTGATGCTCTGCATGCCTGAGCTCCTTTCTTTCATTTCTCCATACCTTCTACCTTCATTTCCCCTTGCCCCTTTTCCATAATTCCTCCCTGCCATAATGCCATAATCTTATTTCCTCCCTGCTTGCCTTATTTCCTAGTTGTTTTCACATCTTCCTTCATCCCTCCCTTTTTGTCCTTTCTGCTCCATCTTCAACCTTTTTGTTTTTATTCTCCATTTTATGCCTACTCTCCTTCACTCAGTAATGTTATACCGAGTATGTCAGGTCAAACCCAGGCTACTATGACTTGTGGGTCACTGTAGCATACTAAGTGACCAAAGGTCATTCCAGGGCAGTTGCATGCTCTGCTTACACATTTGGATCACCAAGTCGGATACAATCATACTCAGGTCCTTCCAGTTTGTACTTGGAATGTGCATATATATGTAGTTTATAATGTTGTATAGCTTACTTTATGGAATATGAATTTTTTTTTTCAAGAATCACAAACAGTCACTAGGAAAATTTTGGGTCAGTCTGTCTTGAATCAGTTCACTCAGGTAATTTGCAGATCCCATAGGTTTATCTCATCCCAAGCCATAGCAACAGTTTTAATTTAGTGGTAAAGTCAGAGTCACAGACCGGGCCGCGGGGGCGTTGACCCCCGGAACTCTCTCCAGGTAAACTCCAGGTAAATGAGAAAAAAAAAAAAGTCTACATGACTTGAAGCCATGGGAGTAAGTGAAAAGTTAAGCGAATCTGGAAGTTAGCAAGCAGCTAAGTGAGGGTAAGTTGGCACACTGTATGTTGTTTGATGTAACACAATACTACCAGCAAGGCTGTGTGGGATGAAGCCAGTTCTAGTTCATTAGCAGTTGACTTACATTTTACAACATAATGGTATATACCTTTACCCTTCATCCTTTTTTGTTTGAAAAGCCTCTTAAATACCCTTAGTTTTATGCAATACTTTTAGTATGGAGCCTATGGTACATAATGCTAAAATATGATTTTGCTTTTGACAGTAACATAATAGTAAAGTTTTACTTGTAACAACATTTTTTAAAAAGTTTCAGCATATGAAAATTTAGGAAATTCAGTAAGGTTTTAAAATTTTTATTATATTTTATGTAAATAGCAGATAATATTACCTCTTCTCCAAAGCTGGAATATTACAAAATTTAGTGGAAAATCAAATGAATTTCATCTCACATTCTGAACATGTTACTGAAGCAGTTCTATTTATTTAATGTATGCTGTCTGTCCTCACTATGTGATCTGGTTGATTTTCACATTATTTGAATATGCATATATTGCATGTCAAACTATTTGACAAACAAATTGTTTCCATCTTAAAAAACTGTCATAAAAATCATGCTAAGATGTCACAGAATTGCTATAAAAATTATGACAGTCACAAAAATTGCCACAAATATGCAACAAAATCTAGAAAACTGTCAAAAAATTAATAGATTTGTGACATAACATTTATAAAATTGTCAAATTTATTATAAAATTGTTGGTGTTCTACTGTCCCTCTACCCCTAAAGTGGCAGGAAATGTAATACTGGAAATCTTTGATTGGCAACATACAAGACTTTCTTCAGTAATTTCTCTCTGCTTGAAACATTTGTCTATTCACTTATTATGAAGGTTATTTATTGGAATAGATTTGTGACACAGATGACTAGAATAATTCCATATTCTTGATTGACATTCACTCTTTTGATATTTCATGATAAGTGCAAAACACAGCATCGATCCTCTTACTCTGAGCACCTCTCGGAGCTGTGTAGAGAGATATCTTGGCCACATTTAAAATGGCTTGTGTTGGGATGTAGCAGCCAGCAGTAACAGCTTGGTTGATCAGACCCTGATCCATCACGACGCCTGGTCTCAGACGGGGGTGTTGACCCCCGAAACCCTCTCCAGGTAAACTCCAGGTAATGGGTTTTGTGGAGCAACCCATCTGGGGTTGACAAGCCCATCTGAAAATTGCAGCCCTTGGCCATCACAGTAATTTTACCAAAATGAAACGTGTCTGCTTTCAGAATGATAAGACTACTGCTAGTTTTTACTTCTAGCACACTTTACTAAATGTTTTTTATAAACATAGATAGTAGGTTGATAGACAGCAACCACCCAGGGAGGAACTACCATCCTGCCAGGTGAGTATGAAATGGAAACCTGTAATTGTTTTACACAGTGGTAGAATTGCTGGCGTCTTTTTTCTGTCTCATAAACACACAGGATAGCAGGTATATCTTGCTGCTTCTACTTACACTTAGGTCACACTACACATGCATGTACACTCATATGTAGTTACACACCCATCTGGGTTTTCTTCTATTTCCTCTTATCTCCATGGGGAAGTGGAAAAGAATTCTTCCCCCATAAGCCATGAATGTCTTAAGAGGTGACTGAAATGCCAGGAGCAAGGGGGTAGTAACCCCTTCTCCTGTATACATTACTAAATTAAAAATAAAAAAAAATTTTTAGGCCACCCTGCCTTAGTGGGATACAGGTGGCTCGTTGAAAAAAAAAATTATTTCTTTGTATACTATACAAAGTGTACTTTACGTGTGATGAAATATTGTTAGGCACAAAGACAGCCACTAACATGCAGTGCATTTTGGGCAGATTAATACTAAGATTAGACATAAGTTATTGAGTGGTAAATTTTAATTATGCATTATTAGAAAAAAGATGTAGCAAAAATATTACAATTAGTACAATTTACAGTAGTGCTTAGAGATTCTTAGTCACAGTCATGGTCATGAAGATGTTAAGAAGATCCTGCTGGTCAGTATGAGGAGTGATGCAGCCTCTTCCTCTCTTGATCCTTGGTGCCTATAGTTCTGCATGCTGAATATCTTTCTTGTTCCTTTGCATCATTTCTTTCAAATGTTTGAGAAGTGCACTCCTGTGCTCCACTGTAAAGTAATATCTTTTGACAGCAGCAGGTTTCAGATTGAATCTAGTGAATCTTCATTCACATCACCTCAGTAGTTTGAACACTAGAATCCTCCCAAAGAAAGGATTTGTTCAGAAAAGCTGTTACTATTGAAAGTGTCATAGTTTTTTGGTTGTTCTTTGACTTATCACATGTAAAGCACTCTGGTAACCTGAGAGTTTGCCATAGTTTTACCAAAGATATTACAAGACCAATGGACAGTGAAGATTATTAAATAGATATAACACATTTGCTACAACAGAACACAGTCACAGGGGATCCTTTACCTGAACTGGTAAAGGATCCCCTGACTACATTTAAATTTAGGACTATGCTTAAAAGTCATCTTATCTCTCAGTACTAACCAAACCAAACAAAACATCTTCTAGTCAGTTTGAAGCAACTCTCCCAAATATATTATATGACCTTTAATCTATTAAACATTTGCCAATCCATGAAATATTACTGTTGAACCATTAATTGTAATAATGTTTTTATGTGTAACTTCAAGATTGTTATTCTTATAAACCTCCACCTTAACTACCTTGCATTAGTATTAAGATTAAATAAAGATTTATTAAAAAGTTAACCACTCTTATCTTGTCTAGATTTAAGTAGTTATTATGTACTAGGATTAGTCTGCCTGAAGTGCCCTGACATGATAGTGGCTTTATGCACTATACATTACAGGTATAGTATTTAATTTTCCATTTAATTTTGTAATTTTTCAACACTACATGCACAAAAAATAATTAAGTTGTATAAAAAACAGGAGTGCTACTAAAATGTCAGTATCATCGTGGGTATTGGCTAATTTTGATGGTATCAGCATCAGAGTACAACTATTGATAACTGCAGTGGCAAAAATTTTAGTATCATCCCATCCATTATAAAGGCTTCTTGAATTTCCATTATTTTTGTGTATTTAAACATGCTAGAAATGGTCAGGGTTGTTAACTAGTAAAAGAGCCTGGTTGACCAGGCTAACACCAGACGAGCCTGGCCCATGGCCGGGCTCCAGGAGTAGAAAGACTTGAAACTCATCAAAGGTATATTATTGACAAAAAGTAAAATAATATTTTAGCATTATGTGGGCTGTACTGTATAACACTAAATATTTAAGAGGCTTTTAAACAAAAAGGTCCCAACAGGTAAAAGGTTAAGATAAATGAATTGCAATTTTCAATGAAAAATTAACAATAACCAGAAACTGACAGAACCGTGAAGTTATTTGTTATATTTTTAGATAATTTAGATAATAATTTGGTATTTTGTTATTCTTGACTGTTTGTTCTTTGAGGAAGTTTACAAAGTGCTTGCACACCACCCATAACTGCAACAGCAATGATGAAGATATACTAAAGTACGTATTCCAGGGTAGCAGCATAATCATCCCATACTTCTTCCCAACATCTTACTTACATGATGTACTACAGCATTAATGGATATTTATTTCCACAGGAATTCAGTCTATGAGAATGCTAATGACACGAGTAGTGCTAGTCCGACCCCTCCGCCCTATGGCCACACAACGCACTCCCATGGTATGCCTGCACCCACCAGCCCAGCCCGTCAAATCGCCGCCGACACCAAGAAGGTACACTTTAACCTGGCGGGGACCCAGGGCCACGGCGGCCAGGCTGACGAGCGTGTGTGTGAGGCCAGGAACGAGGAGGTAGGCGCTGATGCAGGGCTTCCCTCCCACCTTTCTTCAGTACCTTTTGCATGCCCTTCTCCCAGCACCGGGCTCGCTCTACCGTACACCAGAGGGCACTTCTCGCAATTTTAGGCTATCTTAGTAATACACAGATTAGAGTGCTATAATTACAATGAATGCACTGCTAAAACTTCAGAATGTTCTACCATGCCACAAACTTTGTGAATCCCAAAAAACTGCTTTCACTCACACAACAGAATGTTTATCACCAGTGCTGGATCTACTCAAACTATTTACAGTAATACACTACAGTACTGTATCACACCACACCTGTCTTTTTAATTTATAAACCAGTGGCTGTGAAGAGAAGGCGAGGGGTAATCCACACTGAATCTTAAAAAAAAAAAAGTTACTGTAAGATGAAGAAAAACTTGTTCAACAGATCAGGACCAGATTATAGTTATGCAATACCCTATGTTCTCCATGGGGAAGTGGAATAGAATTCTTCCTCCGTAAGCCATGGGTGTCGTAAGAGGCGACTAAAATGCCGGGAGCAAGGGGCTAGTAACCTCTTCTCCTGTATATATTACTAAATGTAAAAGGAGAAACTTTTGTTTTTCCTTTTGGGCCACCCCGCCTCGGTGGGATACGGCTGGTGTGTTGAAAGAAAGAATGAATACCCTATGTCTTGATAGTTTGGGAGGGGGCCTCCCTTATAAGTTACAATATTGCAAAAAACTTATATGGATTTTATCATATAATGTACTGTAATCATATATATGGGAGCTTGAATCACTACAGAGTTTAGTTATACAAAATCACAATCTACTGTTTTGATAACATTCAAAACAAGGAAATATTATAATACACTAACTCATTATCCATATCACATACAGTTTGAGGGAATGTTTGACTTGGGCAGCCAGCAGCTTCTGTATAGCTGGTGGCTTGTGCAGTAAGCCAGAGCTGAGAAATATTGTATGAGGTTGAATGCTAACTGCTTAGTAGTGCTAGTTAATTTTTTCGTAATGAAATGTGATTGAACTTGCAGTAGTCTCCACAGCAACTTGATATTAAAGCCAACCCTTCTCCAGCAACAGATGCCATCATGCCTGCTGCTCTTAGTTTGTTAGGGGGCATTTTGGCACCTGTAGTTTTATTTGTAATTAACACTTGTCTTATTTATAATTAGTAACAGTAGAGCCACATGAACTATTCATAATTATTCAGTGATAATACTGAACAGTATAAGTGACTGATATTAAACAATGTGTATTTTAATATAGTACAGTACAGGTGAAATTGGGTGGTCTTCATTATTTTTTTTTACAGGAAACTACATATGATTCAGCAGCTACCAAACAGTGCATTTCCTTTCCATCACTTGCTGTATGTTTTAGAGATGAAGCTAAACATATCAGATAAAATGCAGTCACATCATTTAATCTCTAAATTTATTTAAATTTCATAATTATTTTACATAACCATTTTGTTTTACATATATATACATTTTAAAACACTAATAAAATAATAAGTGTAAAAAAACAACAAGCAATACTGGTTTTTAGGAACACAGCACATGGGAGATTTCAGGGCACAGCATACAACATGTGGTAGAACGTGTTCCCGGTGCCAGGAGTTGTGGTAGTGACTCAATTAGCCGCAGGTGCCGCAGCATGATTGTGGTCGCACCTCCTCTCCTGAGCCGCCCCCAGCAGTTTGTACCTCACTCCTGCAATTCTCATATCTTCTATTGTCTATTGGTGACCCTACTGATGACCTGTTGACCTGGTGGTGGTGACCTTGCCAGAGCCTGCTACCATTAGTTGTCACATCCGATGGCCTGACTGCTGTCTTTAGGTTAAATGTTTTTTTGATATTTGAGAAGGCTTTCTCAGAAGCTTACCAGCTTGATGGTAGATGCAAAGATCTTGGTATGTGGCAGGAAATTATTAGGGATTGGAAGAGCATCTTTGCCCCTTCACATATCTAACTGTTGGAGGAATATCCTTGCCTTTTCACATTCCCAGTTACTGGAGAAATATCCTTTCCCCAGCCATTTTCACTTTCTCAGGCAACTACTTGTCATGCTGATTATTAGTATTATTATAATCATGGGGGAGTGCTCAACTTGGATTATACAGCGCATGTGTGTGGGGGGGGATGATGGAAGCTTTCAGGCTCAGTTCAGGGAACTGGAGCACACATCCAGTTTCCTAGATAAAGAGCTCATCACTAGTGTCAAGGAACCTCCCTTGAGGGGTCTGTCATGCTGAGCTGCCTTTCATCCTCCAGAATATGTAAGTTACTTCATCTTTTACTCAGCAGCACTTGATCTTGAGAATACTGCGAAAAGGGGTTAGACAGATGCTGTATCTTGAACCTCTGTAGCATTTGTAAAGCCTTTATAATTGATACTGAATATTATAATCATAGGTGTGTTTGTCCTTTCTCTAAGAAGGCTTCCGGTGAGTTTGGTCTATTACTCGTTTTGCTAGTGCATTGTTATTTTCTTCTTTTTCTGGCTCCAGCATTACTTGCAACTTGCAAAAGAAAATTTAGGAATTGTTTACCTTTTTGCATTTTTCCTGTTCATTAATGTTATTTTTACTCCAAATGTGTCAGTCACATTAATTAGGAAGTTTCTCAAGCCTTTCCTTTGGTTGTGTAGATAGAGAGGGTTCAGTCTTATGTATCAGGTACTGATTAGCAAACTGAGCTTTTCCTTTGGTTGTTAATTTACGACTGGCATCAAAGAGTAGAGTTTCAGGTGTCTGTGTGGTATTATCAAACTCTTTGAACCTTCCTTTGGTTGTACTGTCAGGTATTAGAGAGTGCAGCCTTGGGTAACTTTGTTGATGAATGTGGAATATAAATGTGGTGAAGGCAGAAGCAACAAACACTGGTGTTGGCAGGTCACCTCACCAGTAATGGAGGTATGTAGCTAACTAACCCTTATTATATTAACCAACTGAGCTAAGTTACTAATATATTTTGCACACGTAGTCACAACTGAAATGACAAATATTAGCGTTTTGATTAGATGCACTTAAACCTTGCATGTAGTTTTTATATGATACTAATAAGCACAGTCCAACTAGCAGCTCACTAACACAGTACTGTACCAGGCATGACCAGCCTCTTATCACCTTGGATAGTTGCAGTACATAAAATGCTTAACCAGGTAGAATATAGCTTTAATCCAAACTATATATGTACTAGATTCATTATGAAATATGTGAACAATTTAAAAATTTATTCATTGTAACATTTGTATTTCAAAGTATTTTTAAGACTATAACTTGACATTGTTTGAACTAAAACTAATATTTTGTTAGCTTGGTATTGGTGAGTATGTTGAGTAAATTTGTTAGTTATTAGCTAATACAGTACACAAAATTACATAAATGTCACAGAGGCATCAGAGATTCTCGACAGGATCAGTAAGGAAATTGAGAAAGTTCCATTGTCTGTAAAGAAATTAATAATACATAACATGAGTGAAATACAGTCGTGGAAGGAGGCAAACTAGGGTTGTAACACGAGTGGCACAGTTCTGTATAGTATAGTGTAAGATGGCTAACTACTTCGTCTGGGTGTGCAGGTGATAAAGCGTGTGGCAGAGTTACAACAGCTAGTAGAAGATGCTGAGAACTATCTGAGTGACGCGGATGGCGAAACAACCGAGACGGAGAGTGTCCGCTCGGACCAATACGGCAGACTTAAGCACTCTGATTCTCTCCTCCTTCTGACCCAGGTACTGCACTAACCTTTGATTTTGACATAGTAATTTTGTCTCTACACTCACACAGGTCTCAAGGAAGATAGCTTCTTTATTATTAATCAAGCAGAGATACTCTAGTTGGACGAATCTTATTGTGGCTAGCTGGTCCAGTGGCTAACGCGACGGTCTGGAGTTTTGAGACTCTCTGATAGCGGGTTCTATCCCCGCCCATGGTATGGTAAGTAATACAGTAATTATAATAATAATTGTTGGGAATATACCTTTGATAGGTTTCCTACTCCCACAGCATGGCTCTGGGCCAGGCTTGTCTGGTGCTTGGTCAAGTAGGCTATTGCTGTTGGTGACCTGCCGGCTCACATAGCCTAGTTAATCCAGCACTTGGCGGAGGTATTTGCCGAGTTTCCTCTTAAGACTTGTATATTATTTCTGGCAGTGTTTCTGATGTCTTCTGGTAAGACATTAAATAGTTCAAGACCACAAAAGTTGATACAATGTTAACTATTATTGTGCCCATGGCACCTCTGATATTCACAGGGTTTATTCTACACTTTCTTCCATATCTCTTACACTCTTCTGTTATGGCAGTGTTTATATTTGAGATTAGGCCTTCAAGTACTTTGTGTATATATCAAGTATATCTCTCTTCTCCACTCCATTGATTACATATTTAGGACTGAGATGTTCCCAGTAGTTTAAATGCTGTAAATGTCTGTATATGTTCCAGCTGTGATATTTCTGTATAGGCTCCAGCTGTGATATATGTGTATCTGTTCCAGCTGTGATATGTCTCCTGCCCTGAACAGAGTTGTCAGCACTGAACAGTAATCACAAGCGATTTAAATAGTGTGACCATTGGCATTATTTCCCCCCCATTTTGAAAGTTTTCATTTTCCTGGCTGTCATGACATTTGCCTTATTGTATTCTTTGAAAGTTTTTCAAAGATCAACTGAACTTATTGCTCTCATTGTATTTGGCAATCTTGTGTTTTGTCACAATGTTCCTTCTGGGTTCTTCATACTTTCCATATCTAAGCAGTTGGAACTTGTCACCACTGAATGTCACAATATTCTCCACTGCCTGGTTCAGAGGGTTATTTGAATTGTGATGTCTGTGTACATAAGGGAAGGCACTTGTATTATTATTATAATCAAGGGGGAAGCGCTAAACCCGGAGGATTATACAGCGCCTTGGGGGGGGATGTGGAAGGCATTCAGGCTTAATTCGGGGAACTGGAGCACAGATCCAATTCCCTAAATCAAGAGCCCTCACCAACATCAAGGAACCTTCCTTGAGGAGATATGGGAAGACAGCTATTGCTTTTTTTTTTTTGGGTGGGGGGAGATTTCACAGGCAGCTGGCTTGTTCAAAAAAAAGGGGGGGGGGTGCTACATGTATTTGGTGGCTACTTTTGTTTAGGTTTCAGGTATTTTGACTCTTATGCTATATGATCTCTCATCTCGTCTAAAAACGTTATTCTTGCTTTAACCCTTTCAGGGTCCGTCCCGTAGATCTACGGCTTTACGTTCAGGGTCCAAACCGTAGATCTACGCCATGAGCTCAGCTCACTCTGATAAACTGTGAGTGGTACATTTGGGCCTAGATATGAGAGAGTACATCTATGTGGTATGTGTGCACCACATAAAACAGATCCTGCAGCACACTGTGTATAATGAGAGAAAAAAAATGAAATCATGATTTTTCGATTAAAACAGCAACTTTGCAGTGTTTTTTCGTATGTTTTTTATAGTTGTATTTGCGATTTCTTGGTCTCATTTGATAGAATGGAAGACATATTACAGAAATAGAGATGATTTTGATTAGTTTTAGCACTGGAAATGGCTTGAAACTGAGCTCAAAGTAGCAGAAATGTTAAATTTTTGCCGATATTCAAGAGTGAACAAACGACCTCACACGTCTAATACACGTCAGCTGGTGGGTCTAATATACATTCACAAATATGGTGATGATATTTATACAATTATTACAGTATTGCATAACAGTAAATCTTCTATTTTTTGGTGTGAATAAAAATTCATTATGTGAATAAAAAATCAAAATGGAATTTATTTGTAAAGCCTCAAAACATAACTAATGAACAGAGGAAATGTTAGTTTAGTGCCAGGAATGCCTACATTGTTCATTCTGGACCCTATTTTGAAATTGGAATATTTTGAACTTTGTGTTAAATTGGCCAAATTAACAATTTCCGATCACTTTATTTTGTAGTTGAAACAGTTGACTTGGCAATTTCTTGTGCTCAATCGATAGAATAGAAGTAATACTAGTGAAATAGCTAAGAATTTGGTTGATTGGAATAATGTAATTGGCCTAAAATGGGAGTCAAAGTCGGCAAAATCGCCGATTCGTAAATATCGCTGACACATCAAAATTCGCGAGAGCATAATTTCGTCAATTTTCCACCAAATTTCGTACTTTTTGTTTTATTACCTTCACAAAAAGATTCTCTACGATTTCATAAGAAAAAATAAAAATTTTTTTTTTTGAAAATTCTTGGACACTGGTGCGTGACTCCAGATTTGGGCCTTGGACCCTGAAAGGGTTAATCACAGAAATAATGCAGTATAGCCTCTCCTCACTTAATGACAGTGTTATGTTCCTAAGACCACGTTGGTAAATGAATCTGTTGCTAAGCAAGGAGCATACTATAATGGTAGTGGGTTGTGTCGCCCATCTTTCATATTGTTTTAATGTCACTTTTGAACCATTTATAACATTTTTAGTGTATTTTTAAATGTTTATACAGTAGTGTACTGCATCTTCGTTTTTTCAACACACCGGCCATATCCCACCGAGGCAGGGTGGCCCAAAAGGAAAAACGAAAGTTTCTCCTTTCAAATTTAGTAATATATACAGGAGAAGGGGTTACCAGCCCCTTGCTCCCGGCATTTCAGTCGCCTCTTACAACACACATGGCTTATGGAGGAAGAATTCTGTTCCACTTCCCCATGGAGATAAGAGGAAATAAACAAGAACAAGAACTAGAAAGAAAATAGCAGAAAACCCAGAGGGGTGTGTATATATATATGCTTGTACATGTATGTGTAGTGTGACCTAAGTGTAAGTAGAAGTAGCAAAACGTACCTGAAATCTTGCATGTTTATGAGACAGACAAAAGACACCAGCAATCCTACCATCATGTAAAACAATTACAGGCTTTCATTTCACACTCACTTGGCAGAACGGTAGTACCTCCCTGGGCGGTTGCTGTCTACCAACCTATTACCTAGGAGTGTACTGTATATTGTAATAAATAGAATAGAGGAAATCATCTCTAATATACAGTGGAACCTCTACTTGCGAGCGTGTCCACGTGCGAGTTTTTCCAAATACGAGCAGTCGATGGGTCAATTTTTTGCTTCCATATGCGAGCAAAATTTCCACAAGCGAGCAGACCTCAAGGCAGGTTCCTTGACACTGGTGAGGGGCTCTTGCTCTTGATCTCGGGAATTGTATCTCATTTGTTTGTTGGACTATCTTATTGAAACTTGGGCAATGTATGATGGAAAGATGCTTCTTAATGTACACCAAAAATGAAAGAAATCTAAGCATAAATAATGGAGTTCACTTCTCAGCAATTAGCCACCCCTTAGTGGTAATTTTGAATGGTTTTTATGGTTGTATTCTCATTTTTTTGGTCTCATTTGATAGAATGGAAAATATATTACAGAAATAGATATGATTTTGATTGCTTTCATGACGAAAAGTACCTTGAAATTGAGCTCAACCTGGGAGAAATGGTCCATTGCTTGGCTGTTTCGGTGTAAACAAATGACATCACTGTCCATTCCAATATGCAGTCGTGAATGGGTTGACATATTTATACAATTATTGCAATAAGGAATAACAGTAAATCTTATATTTTTTGTGTGAATAAAAATTACAAATAATTTATATAATAATATGTATAATAATAATATGAATAATAACAATACGTATAATAATAATAATAGTATAATACAATAATAATAATAAGATGTATAATAATAATACATATATAATAATAATGTACTACATTATAATAATAGACAGCTTCTAAAGGCTGTCACTAGATGGCAGTGTTTACCACAACAAAGAGGGAGCGGTTGTGGCCACCTCCACTTGTTACTTAATGACAGATTTTATTCACTCTAGAGTATATATCAGGTCTCTGTGATTTATATTGTTTATTATTTCATATTAGAGGAACTGTGATAGATAAATAAGCCGTAGAGTTGATGATAGCGAAATATTCAAGGAGTATGTTGTCCTGTCTCCAGACAAACTCTCGTTCACCGCCGACACCGCCCATACCACTACATGAATGACATTTTATTCATTCTAGAGTATATATCATGTTTCTATGTTATTCATATTGTTTGTTATGTCATACTAGATGAACTGTGATAGATAAATAAGCTGTATAGATGATATTAGTGAAATTATTCATGAAGTATTTTGCCCAGTCTCCAGACAAACTCTCGTCCACCGCCAACACCGCCCATACCACTACATGAATGACATATTTTATTCATTTTAGAGTATATATCAGGTTTCTATGTTATTTATATTGTTTATTATGTCATATTAGATGAAGTGAGATAGATAAATAAGCCGTAGAGTTATTAGCGAAATTATTGAAGTACAGAATTCCACTGGAACAGATTAATTGCATTTCAATTAATTTAAATGAGGAAAATTGATTCTGCAAACGAGCAAATCCAGTTGCGAGCAAGGTCATGGAACGGATTAAACTCGCAAGTAGAGGTTCCACTGTACATTATTTAGGTATGCGTACTGGCCAGAGAGCCCATCGTAAGTCCGAGTCATCGGTAAATGAGTACATCACTAAGTGAGGAGAGGCTGTACTTATCTTAAAAATTATTTGTATTATTTTTCCTTAATATTTCTAATATAAACTACTATCTTTTAAAATGTACTGATCCTTTTTTTCCTCTTAGGGTCAGAAGCTATTGCCAAATGGCGAGGTAGTGGAGAGTGAAGAACGCTCAGGCAGTGATACGGACTCGCAATCAACACCCAATCAGAGCCCAGCACACAGACCCGGTGAGATATCAGATTAACATTCAGGCATACTCAGTGACATGTTTAACCCTTAAACTTTGTATAGCATATGCAGGCTACACAGATGTGCATAATGGATGCTGTATGCCTGATTTTTACTGCCTTCAGATTTGCTGATAACTATAATATTGGGTCTTAGGTCGTTTGTTTAGGTAATGAGGCACCTCCTCAGGTAAAAAACAATCACTAGCTGCAGAATCAGCAGAGGGGAAGGGTAAAGTTGCCTCAGTCAGCTCTTATCACAGTGGCTGGCTGGAAAGTACCAATTCATGTGACAGTGACAAAGATGCAAAGATGATTCTAATGTGAAATGTAAAAATGTCGCACAATGCACCCCCAGTAACACTGACAACACCAATAGCCCTGATACTACCCTGCCAACAAATGACACCTCCAGCAACCCTACCAACACACGACACCTCCAGGTATCCTACCAACACATGGCATCTCCAGCTACCCTGCCAACACCATATGTAGCAGCACCAGCAAGAACATTACCAGTTGCCTTTTAATACCACCAACTGCTCTGCCAACAGAACATATGACACCACCATCTACCCTATCAACACTACACTTATCACCACTACTAGCTTTGACACCACCAGTTGCCCTACCAATAAAGATGCATAATATTAATATAAGTTATGTGATATGCCATGTTTGAAGGACTATCCCACCTTAAAACAAATGTAACATCATGCTAGTTTCATGTTCAGTGTTGAAACAAAACTTCTTTCAACAAACCGGCCGTATCCCACCAAGGCAGGGTGGCCCAAAAAGAAAAACAAATGTTTCTCTTTTTAAATTTAGTAATCTATACAGGAGAAGGGGTTACTAGCCCCTTGCTCCCAGAATTTTAGTTACTTCTTACAACACACATGGCTTACGGGGGAAGAATTCTGTTCCACTTCCCCATGGAGATAAGAGGAAATAAACAAGAACAAGAACTAGTAAGAAGATAGAATAAAACCCAGAGGGGTGTGTATATGTATGCTTGTACATGTGTGTGTAGTGTGACCTAAGTGTAAGTAGAAGTAGCAAGACGTACCTGAAACCTTGCATGTTCGTGAGACAGAAAAAAGGACACCAGCAATCCTGCCATCATGTAAAACAATTACAGGCTTTCGTTTTACACTCACTTGGCAGGACAGTAGTACCTCCCTGGGCAGTTGCTGTCTACCAACCTACTACCTAGGTGAAAGAGATTTCTTTCTTCTTTCAACACACCGGCCGTATCCCACCGAGGCGGGGTGGCCCAAAAGGAAAAACGAAAGTTTCTCCTTTTACATTTAGTAATATATACAGGAGAAGAGGTTACTAGCCCCTTGCTCCCGGCATTTTAGTTGCCTCTTACAACACGCATGGCTTACGGAGGAAGAATTCTGTTCCACTTCCCCATGGAGATAAGAGGAAATAAACAAGAATAAGAACTAGAAAGAAAATAGAAGAAAACCCAGAGGGGTGTGTATATATGTGCTTGTACATGTATGTGTAGTGTGACCTAAGTGTAAGTAGAAGTAGCAAGACATACCTGAAATCTTGCATGTTCATGAGACAGAAAAAAGGACACCAGCAATCCTACCATCATGTAAAACAATTACAGGCTTTCGTTTTACACTCACTTGGCAGGACAGTAGTACCTCCCTGGGCAGTTGCTGTCTACCAACCTACTACCTAGGTGAAAGAGATTTATAGTATGTAAATACAGGAGGGCCCCACTTTACAGCATTTTGCTAATACAGCAGTTTTCAACTATACCTATCCTTCATTTATCCAGGCTACCTACAGTAAATATATTCACCACTCACTGTAAGCTTAGTTGGAAAATACTTTAAGGTAAGTAATGTGTGTACTGTATATGCATTTTTTAGGACTAGCTCTATTGTTCACTTAATATATGATAGTGTAAACATGTTATCAGGCTTTTATAAGTATTTGAAGGTGAAAAAAGGCTGTGATTCCCTTTACAGTTGTATAAGTGGGGCCCTCCTGTATTAAAATTGTGAACATAGTGTAATGTGCTTCTTCCCGTTTCTAACACTAAAACAACTTGAAAAAACATCTTCAGTATTACCATTATAAAGTGTATATACTATAGTCTTACAGATTGAAAATAAAATAACAGATATGCATAATTACCTAAAAAAATCAACAATTCATAATTCAGCAATCTTTGATCAATTTTTATTTTTTGGTCTTGTTGTACTTAGGAAAAATAAATACTTCAAAATGGTAAGAAATTTTTTTAATATTTCAAAATTCTGTCACACCAACATTTTCCCCAGCCCACTGTCTACCACAGTTTAAGGGCTAATACAGCTTTTCCCTCACAGATTTTTGTATGCACTAAACCTTACATACCTATAGGAAGAGGAGAAAAGAATTAAGCTTGAAGTGTTCTTCCCTTGGTATTTAGTTAATCTATTTATATTTTTCCAGTGGCTGTAGCACTTACTACACCTTGTAACTCATCACTTTGTCCTACAACTCTCTGAATGACTTTGATATCCATTTGGCACTCCTTTTAGTTTTAGCTATGGTCATTTGCCATTCCTGTTGATGGTGATAGGAAATGTTTCTTTATCATTTCACATATATAATTTTACACGTTTCCTGTTTCTTGAATTCTTATGTGCAGTGACCCCAGTGCCTGCCAATAGACACTTTGCAAGAAGTGTCCCATAGCTCGAATATCCTCTGGTACGGCTGGAAAACATTAAGGACAAGTTTCCATAAGACACCTGCTGTCCCTGTTCACCCATCAGTGTAAAATGGATACCTGGGTGTTAGTCGACTGGTGTTAGTCGCATCCTGGGACAAAACTGACCTAATTTGCCCGAAATGCTCAGCATAACAAGAGGCTTTCTATATAGTAGTATGTCACTGATGTCAGCTAGGCCTGTATACCATGTACATGTACTTGTAGTAAATAAAGATACAGTGGAACCTCAGTTTTTGTATGCCCTAGCTGGAGAAAATTCTCTATAAAATGTATTTTTTGTTAATATTTGTGGGTGTCTGGAACAGAACCAATTAATCTGTTCCAGACACCCAAAAATATTAAAAACAAAAAAAAAAAAAAAAAAAATTATAGAGAATTTTCTCAAGAGTTTTCTGCAGCCAGGGTGTATGAAAACTGAGGTTCCACTGTATTCTTATATTAAGGGTGATGACCCTTGTGGGTTTAGTGCTTTATTTTGATTGATTGCAAGAAGGATGTCATAGGATTAAAGTTACTGAAAAGAAGGAGATGTAAAAGTGGGTTTTACACACCTAAATGCCCAAAATGCTTCATCATGTTTGTGGCTTTCTTGGTACTTAACAATATTTTACTACATGTAAACTACACATTGTGTACTATGCAAAGAAATAGATTTTTGAATTTGAATTAAATATTAAAAAATAAATGAAATATTATAGAACAGAAATCATGGCAAAGATGAAAAACTAGAATGAATGATGTCAGGATATCATTATGAAGTTTGTGTATACAACAAAATATGGAGGTCTGGTGGATATATTGTTAAAAAGAAAAATTGCCCTCTTTTTATTGTGGGTGACAGTCCCAGTAGCAACATCTTTGACCAGGCCTGACTAATTATTATTATTATAATCAAAACTAAGCACTAAACCTACAAGGGTCATACAGCACTGAAGGGTAGGGTATGTTTAATATACTTGCTCTGAAGTTAGCAAGGGTAGAGAATATAACAGAGGTAGAGTTAGTAAGGGCAGAGAGGAGTGCGAAAGGATGTACAATCAAAGGTTGTGTAATAAATCTTTTGCTGTCAAAGAGGGAGTCTGTGTAAAAGGTGGGGCTGTCAGCAAGGAGGGAAGATAAAGTAAGGGTGTTAGAGATAAATTCTGTGTGCCCACTGGTAAATAGGACAGTCCAATAGAATATGGCCTGACTGATGAGACTTGCTGTTAGTATTTGCAGTTTAGTCAGTATACCTGTTTGAATGGTTTTTATTTCTGTGTTTCAGTTTTGGCATGCAAGTGTTAGTGTCTGGTTGTCTTCATTTTCCTCTCAAAAATGCTTCATAAATGCAACAGCTTCCTTGTAGTCAGATATACCACAGTAGTATTGTTATGAAGGGTGAATGCTAAACCCTTAGAGGTCATACACAGAAATACCACAGGCTGGACTGATCAGGATTGGTTTTAAACAATTTTATAGTTTTGTCTTGTCAAGTCTTTTAGCTCTGCCATTTTCATTTGAAAGATTAATGAAAAGTTTTCAACTTTTTTTAAGTTTTCTAATTCTTAGTTGAAGAGTGTTAGCTTATATTTTACTCACAACCTAAACTTTACTATTGACAGAGTACACTAATAATGCCCAAAAGACAATGTAGTTTTCCTTTTGACAGCTGCCAAGCCTCCGCAACGTCCCTCATCAGTCCTCAAGCCAAGTGGGTCATCCTTCGGCCTGCACTCTCCAGACAACTTGCCAATCACTCTACAGAGCCGTGAAGATGACATCAAAGCTCTCATTAAGCAGCTAGAAGATAACTCTGGTCTTCCTTATACCTTTGCAGAGGGTACACTTTATCTTGACCCTGATATCATTGACCTCACTATGATCCCGCCTCCTATCACTCCAGATGAGGTCAGTCGCCTGTGTTAGTCACTGATATTTTTACGTGCATATTTTGTGTTTTTATTTGAATGAAAAATCTAGCAGTAAGTAGCATAACAAGAAGTTGACATAGCATGTGCTTGATTGATATCTATATTGCAATAATGAGGCCTCATAGATCTTTAAGACTTCATTATTTTAATGAAAGAAAGTATGATGTTAGGGAGATGTAGGTACTGGAATGGAGAGACTTTATAATTGTTTAATGTTGATGAAAGGGAGGTGGAAATTTCATCCATTGGATAGGAAGTAATAAGATCTGGTAGCAGGGAAAAGCCAGAGGTGATTGTGAGTGGTGTGCGTGTTTGAGGTAGTGGATACGATGAAAAGGGTGTAAAATAGCAAGGGACAGGTGATTAAACAGGATGGAATATAGTTTTGGAATGGTTACTGTATTTGCTTAATTTTTTTTAACAAGCAGGCCATCTTCCACCACTATACAGACGATCCTCCCTTTACAGTGGTTAAACTTTGATATTTCGACTTTATGGTAGTGTGACAGCGATACACTTAAGATAATTACCCAGCAAGAAGGCAGCAAGTTCGTATTCATTATTTACTTTTTCTTTTTTTCAACAAACTGGCTGTATCGCACTGAGGCAGGGTGACCTAAAAAGAAAAATTTTAATTTTTCTTTTTAAATTTAGTAATTTATATAGGAGAAGGGATTACTAACCCCGGCATTTATTTACTTTTAAGTATTGGTATTTAGTCAGACACAATAATTATTTATTTACATATTTAGTGACAGTTATATATTTATCATGTATTCATAATCGACTTATGGCAGTTTCAACTTACAGTGGGTTCGTTGGAACGTAACCCCATCATAAGTCGAGGTGCACCTGTACTTTCCATCTCCAGGACTCAAGTCCAGTTAACCCACTTCCTGAATCCTTTCTTAAACGTTAACTTCCTCACACTCCAACAGCACATCAATTTGTAAAAACCTCTTATTTCCACTCCTATTTAACATTCCCTCACATGCCTGTTGAATATTCAAGCCCCTCGCATACAAAACCTCCTTTACCCCTTTCCTAGGATGGTCCCTACTCCTCCTTCCCTCCCCAACAGATTTATACACCATAATTTTCTTTGCTTTTTAACACACCGGCCAGCTCCCACTGAAACAGGGTTACCCAAAAAAAGAAGAAATGCTTCCATAAAGTTTTTCTTCTTTTTACATTCAGTAATTTATACAGGAGGAGTTACCAGCCCCTTGCTTCCAGTATTTTAGTCACCTCTTACAACATGTATGGCTTATGGAAGAGTGATTCTTTTGCACTTTCCCATGGATATGAAAGGAAAACAAATAAGAACAAGCACTGTTAAGAAAAATAAAGGATAACTCAGATGGGTGTGTATACATAAAAATGTATAGGAATGTCACCTAAATGTAAGTAGAAGTAGCCTCAGGATTAGAAGAAACCATGCATAATTCTGTTGTATTAGAAAAAGGGGACTAAAAAAAAGAATAAGAATTATAGGGGAATAAGTCTGTTGCAAAAGGAGAGCAGATGATAGAGTGGGAGAGGCACTGTCAAGAAATTTTAATGAAAATAAGAAAAAATTTTGGAACGAGTTAAACAAGTTAAAAAAGCCTAGGGAACAAATGGATATGTCAGTTAAAAACAGAGTAGGGGAGTTAGTAGATGGGGAGACGGAGGTATTGGGTAGATGGCGAGAATATTTTCAGGAACTTTTAAATGTCGACGAAGAAAGGGAGGCGGTAATTTCATGCACTGGCCAGGGAGGTATGCCATCTTCTAGAAGTGAAGAAGAGCAGGATGTGTGTGGGGGAGGTGCATGAGGCATTATGTAGAATGAAAGGGGGGTAAAGCAGCTGGAACTGATGGGATCATGACAGAAATGTTAAAAGCAGGGGGGAGGATATAGTGTTGGAGTGGTTGGTATTTTTGTTCAATAAATGTATGAAAGAGGGGAAGGTACCTAGGGATTGGCAGAGAGCATGTATAGTCCCTTTATATAAAGGGAAGGGGGACAAAAGAGATCATAAAAATTATAGAGGAATAAGTTTATTGAGTATACCAGGAAAAGTGTATGGTAGGGTTATTATTGAAAGAATTAAGAGGTAAGACAGAATGTAGGATTGCTGATGATCAAGGAGGTTTTAGAGTGGGTAGGGGATGTGTAGATCAAGTGTTTACCTTGAAGCATATATGTGAACAGTATTTAGATAAAGGTAGGGAAGATTTTATTGCATTTATGGATTTAGAAAAGGCATATGATAGAGTGGATAGGGGAGTAATGTGGCAGATGTTACAAGTATATGGAATAGGTGGTATGTTACTAAATGCTGTAAAGAATTTTTATGAGGATAGTGAGGCTCAGGTTAGGGTGTGTAGAAGAGAAGGAGACTACTTCCCAGTAAAAGTAGGTCTTAGACAGGGATGTGTAATGTCACTATGGTTGTTTAATATATTTATAGATGGGGTTGTAAAAGAAGTAAATGCTAGGATGTTCAGGAGAGGGGTGGAATTAAATTATGGAGAATCAAATACAAAATGGGAATTGACACAGTTACTTTTTGCTGATGATACTGTGCTTATGGGAGATTCTAAAGAAAAATTGCAGAGGTTAGTGGACGAATTTGGGAGTGTGTGTAAAGGTAGAAAGTTGAAAGTGAACATAGAAAAGAGTAAGGTGATGAGGGTATCAAATGATTTAGATAAAGAAAAATTGGATATCAAATTGGGGAGGAGGAGTATGAAAAGTGAATATTTTCAGATATTTGGGAGTTGACGTGTCAGTGGATGGATTTATGAAGGATGAGGTTAATCATAGAATTGCTGAAGGAAAAAAGGCGAGTGGTGCGTTGAGGTATATGTGGAGGCAAAAAATGTTATCTATGGAGGCAAAGAAAGGAATGTATGAAAGTATAGTAGTACCAACACTCTTATATAGGTGTGAAGCTTGGGTTGTAAATGCTGCAGTGAGGAGGTGGTTGGAGGCAGTGGAGATGTCCTGTCTAAGGGCAATGTGTGGTGTGAATATTATGCAGAAAATTCGGAGTGTGGAAATTAGGAGGTGTGGAGTTAATGAAAGTATTAGTCAGAGGGCTGAAGAGGGGTTATTGAGGTGGTTTGGTCATTTAGAGAGAATGGATCAAAGTAGAATGACATGGAGAGCATATAAATCTGTAGGGGAGGGAAGGCGTCATCCTCGAAAAGGTTGGAGGGAGGGGGTAAAAGAGGTTTTGTAGGTGAAGGGCTTGGACTTCCAGCAAGTGTGCATGAGCATGTTTGATAGGAGTGAATGGTATTTGGGACCTGACGAGCTGTTGGAGTGTGAGCAGGGTAATATTTAGTGAAGGGATTCAGGGAAACCGGTTATTTTTATATAGCTGGACTTGAGTACTGGAAATGGGAAGTACAATGCCTGCACTTTAAAGGAGGGGTTTGGGATATTGGCAGTTTGGAAGGATATGCTGTGTATCTTTATACGTATATGCTTCTAAACTGTTGTATTCCGAGTGCCTCTGCAAAAACAGTGATTATGTGTGAGTGAGGTGAAAGTATTTTCTTTTGGGTCACCCTGCCTCGGTGGGAGACGGCCAACTTGTCGAAAAAAAAAAAAAGCCTGTTGACCGTATCAAGTGTGTGGTAGACTTACCAAAAAGGCATTAGGGGTAAGACAACAACCTGTCCTCCTAATAACTATATCACACTTTTACATAGGGTTAGCAGCCTATTTCTAAGTTAGGTTATGTTACAGTGGGAAAACCAGCAATATAAATAAAAAAAAAGTCTGCCATGCGAACAGAAACAGAGGGTTGAATTTTATCTCGTAGATGTCTTGAAAATCTTGAACTGCAGTTGCTCTTTTGGGATACAGTTACTAGTTCTCTGTCATACATTGACATAGAGGGGCTGTGGTTAAGCAATAAGGGGATACTGCTTTCAGATCACACACTGACTAAAACCTAGTTACGGTACTAGGCAAGGCAATGAACCAAGACTCCATCAGTAGTAAAACTTCATCACTTAGTGAAGATACCAGGGTAAGCTAATCCCCATGATAACTACCTCATATTCTTCTTTGCTAATCTCTTTTACTCATTACTTTGTACTAGTTTGAGTTTGACTGCAATTAAAATTTCTCCCTAACACATTATAATTGTATGTGGGTATTGTACATTGTGGCTATTCTGCATTATGTTAGTTCAACATTACTGAATTGGAAAGTCTGGGTGTTATATTCTCACTTCTTGAATGGTAGTCTATGATGAATGTGAATCAATTAATTCACATTTGTTACATTATATTTGAGTATACATTTCTATACATATTAAACTTGTATTGAACAGTAAAGTATAACACAAGCCAAACTGTGTCAAAAATAGAAAAAAATTATCTTGAACACTGATTTATTTTTATTTTTTTGATGTTCAAACTGATATTTTTCTTATTGCAATAACATATTTGCACAATTTATTTGGCAAAAGGATAGTTGCTTTATAAGCCAGGACTGTAAGATTTGCCCATGCATGGAAACATTTTACAAACACGCAGGAATAATACATGCTTCACCAAATGCACTACAAGTTACACTAAAATTATTATGCACACTTCTTCCTCAGGATGGCACGAAGGTGTTCCCTCCTCAAGTAAGTACACCGCCCACACCCTTTGCAGATCGGGAAACTTTGGAAAAGGAACTGAAAGCCCTTGAGCAAGATCTGGGTGACTTGAGGTCACTCACAAACCCCAGTTGGATGGAGCAGGAGAGTGTAAACAGCTATTCCGACTCTACCACCACAGGTTAATGTCACTGTGTTTTCAAATGTACTACCTGATAAGACAAGTTATGCAAAGTAAAGTGATTTCTATTGCAGTGTATTCAGACAGTGATAACTAAATCAGGCTAAACTTATGAGGAATTGTCTCTCTTACACAAAATATTAATATTTTGAAGCCAATTAAAAGAAGCATGCCATAATTACTCAAGTGAATTTCACTATTTATTCACTAAAATTGGAATAATGGGACTTGTCAACCAATAACAGGATGATCCTTTTATTCAGGAAACCACATTACAGATGAAAATTTGAAGTCAATCAGATATTCTTTAGTTATGGCACAGATTCCAATGATTCTAAGCTTTTTCTTTTAACTATTTTACTACAGTAAATTTGCCTGCACACCAATAAAACTTACTTGGTACCATCCTGCCATATGATGCATCAGCCATTAAATACTGAAGCCATTCAAAAGTAGTAAATTGAAATTTATTAAGCATGATTTAATGGTCAAATCTGCCCTTGCACATCAGAATTTCACTCTCTGCAGTTGATGAATTAGGTAGCACCTCATTTCAGTGTTTAAAGCTGAGCCATGGAGGGTTTTCAAAGTTATCCAAGCCTTGCCAGATGCTGGAAATGAGTTCAACAACTTTGGTTATAGTGCACCTCCACATGTCAGTTGTTCCAAAAATTTAGCCCTAGTGATCATGCACATTATTATAATTTTAACCAAGCACACTGTAATTGGCCTAAAATAGGAGTCAGAGTGGGCAAAATCGCCACTGCGTAAATATCGCTGACACAGCAAAATTCGTGCTAAGTGTAATTTCATCAGTTTTCCATCAACTTCTGCACTTTTTGTTTTATTACCTTCAGAAAAATTTCTCTGCTGTTTCATAAGAATTTTTTTGTTTTGTTTTGGGCCCCATGGACAAGTTTCAGATCGGGGTCTGGACCCTGAAAGGGTTAATAAGCTCGGATCAAAATTAGTGAAATGTAGTACTCGAAATTCATATTGTACATTATGTAGGTTTAAATTAATTATATAATTTTTGATCCTGCAACTTCCTTAAATAGTTTAGATAATTTAACATTAACAGCAAATAAGAGATTGTCTTCCTTTCAGCAGCAAGTGATACAGAGGACACTATGTCTCTGAGCAGCTTGAATACCAGTGTTGTCTCCAGTGACTTCTCTCCTGTAAATGGTGCAGCTGTCAACAGAGTCTCGGGTAGCAATGGAGGTATCAAAGGCCCGAGCTTCACTTTAGCAGCACTTCGACAGCTAGGTATTCACCTTGAGGAAGGTGAAGATATAGATTCCTTCATTGCAAATCTTACCATTCCACCACCACCTGAAGGATGTGTAGTAAGTTCATGATTATATTCTCAACCATAGTTTGATCATATTTGTAGAGTAATTGCCCTAAAATATGCCAAAACTAGACTTCAGTATACAGCAAAATATTTGTAATCATTATCATCATCAGATACAATGCAGTGTGCAGATAATTTATAGCCAACACTTGAACACTTCCAATTGGGCAGGAGCTTTTTAATATACAGTGGTACCTTGAGTTTTTTACAGCTCCCAACTTGAACAATCATGTAAGTGTATTTTTGGGGGTCTGAAATGGACTAATCTAATTTACACTATTCCTTATGGGAACAAATTCGTTCGGTGTCGGCACTCTAACAGCCTTCTGGAATGAATTAGGTTCGTAACTCAAGGTACCACAATATTTAAATATTCAGAATAAAAATTAAATATGAATAAATACCATATGGTGTTCTTTTAAACTCTTTACAATGAGGCCTTTTAATAATATTATTCCCAGGACCTTCAGACGTGTGCTGAGAACCGCCGAATAGGGAATGAGTATGACATTTCTGCATTTATTATCCCTCCCCCACCCACTTCAGATGAGAGAGACAACAGGTCATCAGATATCATCCGAAGACTCTATGAAGCCAAAGAAGGAATTAGTAAGGTGAGTTCTTTGTAAATTAATATTCAATATAAAATCATTTAGGTACACTAAAAATTTATGCATCTATATTGGGACAAAAAACAGAGGATACGTGCTTACCCCAATTGTTCTCGGGGGCCTTAATACTGTACAAAAGTATGTGTATACCTGCAACAGTACAGTGAAACCTCAGCTTATGAGTGCCCCACCATACGAGTTTTTCAGGATACGAGTTTTCTCCTCAAACATCTTTTTTTTTAGACCTCCAGATCTTGCAAAAATAAAAGTGAGTTTATAATTATAGTTCATTGTGATGTATTATGTTGTTTTTACTGCTTAAGACTATAACTGCAACAGAAATAATAGTACATGTATTTCTTACCTTAAATTGTGGTTGCTGGTGTTTGTGGAGAGTTATGCTGTGGCCCTACTGGGCTGAGGTGGATGGTAGAGGTTCTGGTACTAAAGTCAATGGTTTTACTGGAGTGTGCATAAATTCTGTAATGGATTTCCATTCTATTTTACCCTGCAGTACATTATACAACTGATGGTAAGGCATCAGCTGCTCTAGACACCATTTCAGGGTCCTCTTCAGTGAAAAAGTAACCAAGTTGATATTAGCGTCATATTCAAGTATTTTGTCCTGGGTCCTGAGAGCAAGAATTCTGCTGCAGCGGATTAATGGCATTTCAATTAATTTAAATTAGGAAAATTGACTCGGGATATGAGCAAGATCATGGAACAGATTAAACTCGTAAGTCGAGGTTCCACTGTAGTACTATATACAGTATTACTGGAACTACATTTACATATGCCATAAGACAAGGGGTATACATTTTTATATGATATCACCACAGATAGGACTATTTGAAAGCATTATATGACTGTTGATACAGCCACATAAGGGTTTAAATGTGAAGAAACATTAGAATATGTTAATATAGGAATTACCCCACAAATCAGATTTTGATCTGATGCTTCAGAAGACAACCGGACACTACTACTCTGAACAAAGTCCGGACTTGTGAACTTTTTTCCATTTTATTGCACACTTCCACCATTTATCCAGCCAGGTTATAATGTCTGAAATTGGCAAAATCTGTTAATGAGAGGTATTACTGTGCTTCCCGAATGTTATTTGACAATATCTTGAATGTAATTAACTATAAACAATTGGCTAGAATAAATATTAAATATTGCAGATGGTGTGCGAGGACAGCAGTGATATTGAAGGCGGGGAGAAAGACCACGAAGTTGGCGAGGTGCGAGTCAGCTCGGAGACAGTGCCTAAGCGTACCAATCTGGTGGGGAAGGTAGCATCCCTTCAGAGGCGCTTTGAAGCTCCAAGGCCCACACATGTTACTCCACCTAACTCTAGTGCCTCCATAGACAATCGACAGTTGCTACTGAAACTCAGCAAAGAAAGCTCTCACTCTCCAAGTGACTCCTCAGGTTATGATAGTCTCAGATCAAATAATTCTAATGTAGGACATGAACTGGATACCAAACTAGCACAGGCTTTGGAGGAAAATGATAAGATGTTCAAAAGTTTTGACACTCTTAAGAGACAACAACTCATTAGTGCCAAAGTGACAAGTGGAGGTCAGGAAAAAGGAAATGAGAGCTGTGACTTTAAGCATCCATCTGTGATGTCTAGAGTGCGAACATTTAGTTCTGGAGGAAACTGGGGTACTGGTTCTCTTCAACGACCATCAACTCTTCAGCGCCAAATGACTGTGCCAACCAGTAAGGCAGAGGTGAAGGAAGAGGATTCTTCACCTCCTCCTCCTCCTCCTCCACGCACTCCTATCACTCGAACTGGCACTTTGACAAACCCAAAGAAATCAAAGCCTTTTCCTCCCACTTCAAAAATTCAAAGAAGCATTTCCATGAGCACTGGTAACTTATCAAAATCTGTTTCACAAGATGACATGACAAGTCACTCTAGTTATAACACCATCCTAAAGTCACCAACAAAGAATACAGTGTCTTCAGCTTCCAGTGAAGACATCAGTGAAGCCAAAGCCTCCCCAGGATCACCCTCCAAACAGAGTGTAGCTTCCAGTAATGACTCCCTCACATCCTCCTCCAGTATGGTGACTGTCAAATCAGCCTCACTCAAAAGCCTTGACAATGATGAGGACCCTCCAGAACTGCCCCCAAGAAATGGAGCTAAAGCTGCCATGAAGCCCCCTCTTCCAAGAAGCTCATCACAGGTAAGGTCATGCACCAACTGAAGCATGATACAGGATGGAATATGCTCCAAAATAAAACCTGTTAAATGTTTTACATAACTAGGTTTTTTTTTTTTTCAAGTAGGCCGTCTCCCACTGAGGCAGGGTGACCCAAAAAGAAAATACTTTCACCTCACTCACATAATCACTATTTTTGCAGAGGTGCTCAGAACACAACAGTTTAGAAGCATATACGTATAAAAAGACACAACCTATCCCTCCAAACTGCTAATATCCCAAAACCCCTCCTTTAGAGTGCAGGCATTGTACTTCCCATTTCCAGGACTCAAGTCCAGCTATGTAAAAATAACTGGTTTCCCTGAATCCCTTCACTAAATATTACCCTGCTCACACTCCAACAGGTCCCAAATACTATTCGTCTCCATTCACTCCTATTGAACACGCTCATGCACGCCTGTTGGAAGCCCCTTACTCCTTCCCCACCTTCCTTTCCCTACGGATTTAAATGCTCTCCATGTCATTCTACTTTGATCCATTCTCTCTAAATGACCAAACCACCTCAACAACCCCTCTAATACTTTTTATTAACTCCACACCTCCTAATATCCACACTCTGAATTTTCTGCATAATATTTACACCACACATTGCCCTTAGACAGGACATCTCCAACTGCCGCCTCGCTACTGCATTCACACCCATATAAGAGTGTTGGTACTACTATACTTTCATACATAAGTAGGTTTTATGGTATTGTATTTTTGTTGCCTCTTAAGCATTTAAAATACAGGCAAATCTTGCATTCTCCTACTTGCATTGATTATACACTTTTCATTTGCCTGTAGATTCTTAATTTGGGGGCTCCTAACAGTGGAAAAGTTAAGTTCTTTTAATGTTTCCTTTTCAATTTATAAGGCCTGGTTTGAGACAGGGTTTGGAAGGGTGAGGGGTTCATAACCCTTAGAACTTACGAGTGCCCCAATTTACGAGTTTTCTGAGTTACGAGCCATCACTGTCAATCTTTTTTGAATTGCGAGCCAAAATCAGAGTTACGAGCGAGCTTCAGATACTCCGCCACTAGATGGCGCAGCAAACGCCACAACAGTGCACATGGTTACCTCGCCGTGGAAGCATCTCTCGTGTTATGCTTGTATTTTGTGCAGTTGTTTTGCCAAATTTCTTTTTTCTAACCATGGGCCCTAAGAAACGAAGTGCAAAGGACAGTGCTGAGATGATGTCCATTGAATTAACCCTTTGACTGTTTCCGACGTATAAATACGTCTTACGAGCCAATGTTTCTGACGTATTTATACGCACAAATTCTAGCGGCTTCAAATCAAGCGGGAAAGGCCTGGTAGGCCTACATGAGAGAGAATGGGTCTCAGTGGTCGGTATGCACCCTGTGAAAAAAATCTGGGACCCAGCAGTGCATTGTGGGAACGCCATGTTTTAGTCCATTTTCACATGCCTCTCGGTAAAAGTTCCTCACCCTCAGTGGTTTTGGAGGTCTTTTGTTCCCCAAGTGATAGCTCTAACAGGATAAAATGTCAGTGACAGTGAAATTCCAAAGGTTTTTTGAAGTGAGTGCTACCGGAAAAAAAGTCCCCAGGATAACGTAATTAGTGATGAAAACCCAGATGACCCACAACCTTCCCCCTCTGGTGCTGGGCCGGCTTGTTCACGTTCACCTGTACCAGGACAAAAAGAGGAAACTATTTGGTCGTGTACAACACCCAGATGTTAGCAGTGATAGTGATTTCAAGGTCATTGAAAGCAGTTCTAGTGACAGTGAGAGTGAATATTCCCCGTGAAGGGGCAGTATGTACGACGTAGCATGGGGTCTGGTAGTGTTTCATATGTTGTTCCAAGGGGAAGGAGAAACTCTGGGAGCACATCCCGTGGCCCTACACCACAACCTGATAGTGAAGATGACAATATTGTAACGATGGGTATGAATGATGTGAGTGATGGAGCAGGCATGTGGTGATAGTGAGGGGGGCCACGGCCCATGTGGCACCATCAGCGGGCCACGCTGCTGACTCTGCACAACAACCAGCCTAACCCTACCCCACACTCCCACAACCTGCACCACCACAACCACGGTACAATATCCAGACCCCACCAGCAGACCGCATCTGGGAGTGGCAGGACAGTGACGAGTTTGTTCCCAGTCCCCACGACTTTGATGAAACAAAGTGGAATAAAGCCATCTTGTCCACTTGGGAACAATGCCAGTGAACTGGACTGCTTTGAGTTATTCTTCGATGAACCCCTGATGGACATCATTGTCAGGGAAACAAACACATACTGTGATTACACCATGGAAAATACAATTCTCTCACCAAAATCACGGCTACACAAGTGGAAGGAGACAACTGTGGCAGAGATGTACCTGTTTTTTCCCACAATAATGCTTATGCCACATATGTATAAGCACACTGTCACCACATTTTGGGGCAACAGAACGCCTGATTTCAACCCCGGGTTTTTTAGTGACATTATAGGTGTCAATCGTTTCCTGATTCTGTTACGTATTTTACACTTTTCAGACAAAACCAGGCCTGACAGAAGCGACAGGTTATATAAGATCAGAAATGTGTTTATGTACCTAAAACAAAAGTCTGCATGAAATTTTATCCCTTCAGGAAGCTTGTTATTGATGAGTCCTTGATTTTATTCAAAGGAAGACTCTCATTCAAGAAAATATATACCAAGCAAGAGGAACACTTGTAATAAAGCTATTTGTACTGTGTGATTGCAGAAGTGGTCTAGTTTTGGATATCATTGTGTACACTGGCAGTAATACTTTGAGAGATACCATGAAGTTATTGGGTATCTCTGGTGATGTGGTTTGAACAATGATGGAACCATATCTTGGTAAGGGGCATATGTTATTTACTGATAACTGGTACACAAGCCCCATACTCAGTGATTTCTTGCAAGTGAACTTGACAGAAAGTGTGTGGCATAGTGCGTGGTAATCGTAAACATATGCCAAGGTTCGACGCTGGCACTCGCAGAGGTGAGGTGCAAGCCTTTGCTGCCAATGACATCATGACAAACGTGATGTCACATTGTTGACATCAGTTCACAGAAACGAAATGGTACCCAGTGGCAGGGACAACAGAGAGACCAATGAACCCCCTTCTAAAGCCTGCAGCTGTCATGGACTACAACCTCAATATGCGCTTAGTGGACAAATGTGACATGCAGATTGGGTGCGCAAGAGTTATAAGTGGTATATAAAACTTTTTTTCCATCTTGTTGATATCTCTATGCTAAATGCTTATAACATTTACAAGTTGAAGACCAACAAAACACCAAAATATGGTGAATTTTGCCTGTCAGTAATCAGACAAATAATTGCAAAGTACCAAGGAGCAACTCCTGCAATAGACCAGCGCCCACACACGTCATCTCGTTTCAGGCCTGGTGATCACTACCCCATACAACTGCCTCCTACTACTGCCAAGAAAAATGCTCAGGTGTTATGTATGTATGCATACCACAAAACGCCCACAAACACGCAGAGCCACTCGTTTTATGTGTGAGGAGTGTGAAGTGCCCCTCTGCATATACCCATGTTTCAAAGAGTTCCACAAGCTGCAGCAGTTCTAGGAATGTGTTTAGTGACTGTACATATGTATATATATTATGGAACAATAGTAGTAAACTGTTTACACAAACAATACAAAACTAAGTGTATACACAAACTAATAGTGATAAAGTTTGTTCTGTTATTGTGTTGTAAATAATGAGTGTATATTTGAAGAATGCACCTTACATTGGTCTCACAGGCCACATAAGTTACCTGGAACAGAAAAATATTGAAAAATGCAAGAAACCTTTGAATTAGAGTAAATAAAAGAATACCGGGTGGGCGGCAGTCGCCGCTGTTGCCGTACGCACGTCACTTTCTGCAAACTTTGCGGCTCTATATCTCGGTAAGTACTGATGGCAAATTTTTTTTTTTTTTAATATTTGGTGACAGAATGACAGTTTCAGAGAGGGGCCTGAAACAGTCAAAGGGTTAAAGCATGAAATCATAGAAAAATACAAGTGAGGTATGCATTTAGTCGACTTGGCGAGGCAGTACAAGCGTAATATGTACGTATTTTGTGCCTTCTCTGTGAGCAGGCACAGGGTATTTATGCTGATTTACTTCCAAGATATTCACTCAAAATGTAGGCTTGTCTCCTGACTCGGGGGGCGGGGAAATCAGAGAAAATTGCTTGTTTCAGTGTTTTCCTTATGAAACTAGTGATCTAGTGCAGTTAGCCTCACAAATGCTGTCTTCTCTTATGATAAGACCTCGGTAGGGCAAGAATGGGAAGATATGGTCAGTGATAATTATTTTTTTTTTTACCTAGGGAGTGGTCGCCGCCACTCCTCACATAATGACATGTTTTATTCATTCTAGAGTATATGTTGTTTATGTCATCCTCTTCAAGGGGGGCTCCTTGGCGTGGTGAAGAGGCTCTTGGTCTGAGGAATTAGCCCTGTCGGTCTTCTTCCTCAGACTGAACCTAATTACCCCCCATTCTCCCCTCCCCTATCCCATCCTCCCCTTTTTCCATTCCTCCTCCTCCTCCTCACCCCTCCCTTTTGTCCTTTGGGATTTCTCCCACAGGCGCGCTAGTTCCTAGGTAGGGGAAAGGACACCGGGGTCCATCCCATTCCGTTGAGGTTCTTGGTGGTGGCGTAGTTTGCCGTGGAATCTGGATTGCCTGGGGATGTCCCGATCCCTCTCCGGTATCCCGGAGTTGCTTTGGGTGTCTTTTGGGCGACGGGTGTATCTCTGGAAGCCACCTTTCGGATTCCGGGGGTGGTGGCTGAAGGAGGTATGCTTTGTGGCGGATATCCGGCCGCCCTCTCTTTTGTCCACCGAGGTAGCTCGGCAGATGTGAGGTTGCTATCCCGGATTGCTGGTTTACTGGCATGAAGGGTAGGGTATGGCATGGGTTCCATGCTGCATCTGCGCTACTAGCGGTGTTGAGGTCCTCTTGGGTGCAGAGGGAGATTT